CTCGAGACAGGGTTTCTCTGTGGCTTTGGAGCCTGTCCTGGAACTAGCTCTTGTAGACCAGGCTGGTCTTGAACAACTCACAGAGATCCACCTGCCTCTGCCTCCCGAGTGCTGGGATTAAAGGCATTCGCCACCATCGCCTGGCTGGACAGGCCCACTTTAAAGAGATACACTTGTGTGTGTGTGTGTGTGTGTGTGTAAGTATGCTATATGTCTTAGTTACTTTTCTACTGCTGTGAGAAGACACCATGACCAAAGCAGCTTCAAAGGAAGGCAGTTAATTTGGGGTCTGCTTACAGCTCAGAAAGCTAGTTCATGGCAGCAAGCAGGCTGGCGTGGCACTGGGGCAAAAGCTGAGAGCTTACATCTGGTCTGCAAGATGATGGAAGGATAGAGAGAGGCCTAGTTAGTATAGGCTTTTGAAACCCCAAAGCCCACTAGCAGTGACACACGTTCTCCAACAAGGCCACACCTCCTAACCTTCCTAAACAGTCCACCAACTGGGAACCAAGTATTCAAAGTCTGAGCCTATGGGAGTTATTCTAATCAAACCACCACATCCCACTCCCTGGCACCCACAGGCTTGGAGCTAAATCATAATCCAAAAAGGCTCTCAATCCAACTCCAAAAGTCCCCATAATCCTTCACAGTCTCTGTTTCAAAGTCCAAAGCCTCTTCTGAGACTCAAAGCAATCAGTTAACTGCAACTCCGGGTCAATTGGAAAAGTAAATTCCATTCGGCCAACACACGCTGGCACAGGGAGGAACTCCTGGGACCACACCCAGCAGGGCACACCCCTGTACGGCTTCTGTTGCTGAACAAGCTCTTCTGTCCTCAGCAGGACAGTTGTGGCTCCAACAAGACTGTGCCCCATCCAGACTACAGTCGTGCACTCTCCTGGGCATCACCTCCAGCTGCAGGGGATGTGTACAGGAAACGGAAGGTTCACTGAAGCTACACAGCTTTTGGGAGGTGGCTCAATGGGTGGTATCTTGAGCATATATGAGACCTCAAAGTTCACTTCCAAAGTGACACCCTTCCTCCAATAAGACACACCTACTCCAAAACGCCACACCTCCGAATAGTGCCACTCCCTTTAAGGTCATTTTCTTCCAAACCAGAGACAGCCCTTCCTCTGCTTCCCAAGTGCTGGGGTCACAGGAGTGTGCCACACACCTGCATGTTTTTTTCTTTTTCCTTTTGTTTTTGAGACACAGTCTCACATAGCTGAGGCTGGTCTTCACCCTGCTGGGGTCACAGGAGTGTGCCACCGTACCCCTTTCCCCAACCATCGTTTCCTCTCTTCCCTTCTCTTCCCCCGCCCCCATTCCTTTCCTACGTGAGATCAGATCGTAGGGCAGCTTCTGGGGAGCCTTGGACAAGATTATAGGTCGATAAGATAAAACATAGGCCTAGTCGTGCAGAAATTCTTCTTTTAAGATTTAATCTGGGGTTGGAGAGATTTCTCGGTATCTAAGAACACTAGCTGCTCTTGCAGAGGACCCAGAGAATGAATCCCAGTTCTCATATGGTGGCTCACAGAATCCAACCCCTCATCTGACCGCTGTGGCAACCAGGCACACACGGTGCACATGCATGCATGCAGGCAAAACACTCGTAACATAGATAAATCTTTTGTAATAAAGTACCCTTATACTGTAAAACAATTGTAAGCTTTGAGACCTATGCTTATGTTTGGCTGCCCCCTGCTGGAATCTTTTGGAAGAAAACTCCTGTTAGTGCATTCAGATAAAAATAACCCTGGGTGGACAGTTAGGTGAAACTCACCATAAGCCTGTTTGTTACTGCCGAGATGGGAGACCTGCTCAAGTTTTTCCACTTGACCTTTTCAGATTCCCTAAGCTCCTGTCAGGCCCGGGTTTCCACAGGAGCAACCTGATGGCACCAGGCAACATCCTCTCTGAGAACTCTTGCAGCCTGGCATTCTGGGACACCAGGCCTTCCTGCTTCTGCTGTTCACGTGGGCGAGGGTGGGGAAGGGTTCATTAAGTCTTTGAAGAATCACACTCCTCCCTGGGTGGTGGTGACATAACCCTTTAATCCCAGCACAAGGCCGCCTGGCCTACAGAGCAAGTTCCAGGACATCCAGGCTTACACAGAAAAACCCTGTCTTGAAGCCCACACCCCCCCCCAAAAAAAAAAAGAAAGCAAAAGAAAAAAAAAATCACACTTCTCAGAAAACTCGGATAAGCGGTTCTGGAACCTTCCAGTCTCCAGTGAGAATCCCTGGCAGACCTACTCTGCCTGGGAAATTGGTCACTCAGCAGGTCCACAAGACAGGGGAAAAGACTTTCGACCAATGGTTCTCAACCTATGGGCCTCGACCCCTTTGGCGATTGAATGACTTTGGGGGGGGGGGCAGGTACTTACATTACAATTCATAACAGTAGCAAAATTACAGTTGTGAAGTAGCAACGAAAATAATGTTATGGTTGGGGTCCCCACGACAGGAGGAACTGGATTAGGAAGGGTGAGAACCACCAGTCTGGACAAGAACCAAGACAGAAGGATCACAGCAAGTTCCAGGTTACCCTGGGCTGCACAGAGTTTGAGGTGTACAGTCTGAACACACAAAACGAGTTTCCTCCAGCCGAGCTCCTGCCTGGGTGGCCTACTAGAGACTCTGGAGGAGTCTGGGAACACCTTGGAAGACAAGGCCCAGGCCAAACAGAAAGGGATTATGGCCAAAACACAGAAGTGTCTTTCAGAGAATTTCACCAAAACAATTTCAAGCCACTTTCTTCTAAGCACCTGGGGACCACACGCTAGCACAGTCTCCCTGTGCTGCTGAAGATCCCTCCCCACTCCACAGAGGGAATAGAGCAAAAATAAACCAGATCTCTGCTGTCTGCAATCTAGCTCCTGGGGGTGAGTGTCCGGAGCTGCGACACTGTTGACAGAGAGCTGTGCTCATGTACAAGTTACCTGTCACAAGCAAGGAAGGACAGGGACACCTGCGGAGTCACATGGCCAGATATTCGTTTTCTCTTTTACTTTATGTGGTAGTTTGAATGTAATTGGTCCCCAAAAGCTCATAGGAAGTAACACTATTAGGAAGTGCATCCTTGTTGGAGGAAGTGTGTTACTGTAGAGGTGGGTTTTGAGGTCTCATATGCTCAAGCCTTGTCCGGTGTCTCAGTTCACTTCCTGTTGCTTGCAGGATCAAGATATAACTCCTCCATTCAGCTCCTTCTCTAGCACCATGTCTGCCTGTATGCCACCATGTCCTGCCATAGTAATGGACTAAAGCTCTGAAACTGTAAGCCACTCAATTAAATGCTTCCCATGATTTGCCATGGTCATCCTGTCTCTTGACAGCAATAGAAACCCTAACTAAGATACTTTATTTCATATGAAAATGTGTAACAGCCAGGTGGTGGCTGTGCATACCTTTAATCCCAGCACTCACGAGGCAGCAGTAGGCATATTTCTGTGAGTTCAAGGCCAGACTGGTCTAAAGACGTGTAAGAAAAAAATTTAAGATATATTTTAAATTAAAAAGAAATTCTGTGTATGAGTGTGTGTTTGTGGGTGGGCACTTGTGCATGTGGCACCTGCGGGGGCCAGAAGAGGGCATTGGATCCCATGGGACTAAAGTTACAGGGTGTTTGAGCTGCCCTCATGGGTGCTGGGAACCGAGCTCTGGTCCTCTGGGGAGCAGCTGTTCACCTCTGAGTCATCTCTCCAGCCCCAGATTTATTTTATTTTTAATTTATGTATCTGTGTATGGGCATGTAGTCATGGGTACAGGGGTCCTCAGAGGGCAGAGGCATTAGAGGTAGAGGTGGTCGTGAGCCATCTGATATGGGTGCTGGGAATGGAGTTTGAGTTTTTGCAAAAGCAGCAATTGCTCTTAACTGCTGAACCATCTCTCCGTCCAAATACAACCAAATATATTCTTTTCTAATAGTATATCCTGATGGGTTTTTTGTTTGTTTGTTTGGTTGGTTGGTTGATTGGTTTTTCGAGACAGGGTTTCTATGTAGCTTTTAAGCCTGTCCTGGAACTAGCTCTTGTAGCCCAGGTTGGCCTCGAACTCACAGAGATCTGCCCACCTCTGCCTCCTGAGTGCCGGGATTAAAGGCACGCGCCACCACCTTGATGTTTTTTTATTGTTTGTTTTTTTTTGATAAACTCTCCTATATCAGAGTGGAAGATGACCTCAGACTCCTGACCCCGCCGGCTGTCCCTTAGCACCACAGCTGTGCACACATTTCCACACCTGATTTATTTTGTGCTAAGGATCTAACTCTGGATCTGCTTGGCAGGTATTCAAATGCTGAGCCACACCCTAGCTTTCCTGCTAGAGGGTTAGCACGCGTGTGAGTGTTTTGCTTGCCTGTGGGTCAGCACCATTTGCAATTGCTGTTAGAGGAGACCAAAACAAAGTGCTGGGTCCCTTGAAACTGGGGTCATGGACAGTTATGGAGTCATGTGGGTGCTGGGAACAGAATTTAAGACCTCTGCAAGAGCAGCAAGTTCTCTTAACCACTTGCCATCTCTCCAACCCCCATGACAGAGTTGCTTGTTAGTAGCCCTGCCTGTCCTGGAACTCGCTTTGTAGATCAGGCTGGCCTCAGACTCATGGAGATCAAAGTGTTGGAATTAAACGTATGCACTTCTGCTGCCTTCCTGTTACCCTTTAATACAATTCCTTATGTTGTGGTGACTCCCAACCATAAAATTATTTTTATTGTTTCTTCATGACTGCAGTTTTGGTACTGTTATGAATCATAATGTAAATATCTGATATGCAGAATTCTTACTCACAACCTTCAAAGGGGTCACAACCCACAGGTTGAGAACCTCTGCTCTAAAGAAACCAGGGATGTGAAATACACAGTGGTATCTCTTTTTTCCCCCCATTTCGAGACAGGGTTTCTCTGTACAGCCCTGTCCTAAAATTCACTCAGTAGACCAGGGTGACCTTTAACTCAGATCCACCTGCCTCTGCCTCTTGAGTACTGGGATTAAAGGCCTGTGCCGCCACCACTGCCCAGCTAGGGTTGTCTCTTCAAAAAAAGAGATTTATAAACTGTTTTCAGCCCAGAAGGCCGAAATGTTAACAAGGTGACCTCTGCTCTATCTGTATGACTGACATCACACCAGATCCTCCCAGCCTGTAAGATGTCACATGCAGTCTATCCACAGAACACATCCTTACGGTGACATGTACCTGAAGAGTTTTATTATGCACACAGGATTGTGTCACATGAGAAAACTTTTTTCTAAATTGTACTGTACACAAACATGCCTGAAATAAACTGCCCTGGGTCAGACCCTGGAAGTTTGAATCCTGTTAAAGCAGACTTTCTTCTTGCCTCCCAGGGACAGTGTTTGCAGAGATCACACACACACACACACACACACACACACACACACACACACACAAAACAATCCATCGTGTCCCAGAAGTCCAGATCGCAGGAGCCTGAAACAGGGGGACATTGCATCATTGCATGCACAGTCAGGAAAAAGCAATGAATGCAGGCTGCTGCTTGGTTCCTTTTCTCCACTTACACAGTCCAGGATCCCGCCAGGGAATGGACCCACACACACACACACACACACACACACACACACACACACAGTGGGTTGGCCTTCCTACATCAAAGCAACCAAGATAACCCTCCAGAGGCATACCAGCAGACCTATCTTCTAGGTGACTATAGATTCTACCTAGTTGACATTTAGCATTAACCATCACAATGACATTTGTATATTTATTTATTGTGGTACAAAGGATGTGTTTTATCAAAACCGCAGAAAATAAGTGGGCTTTTGTCCATTTTTCTTATTTTTCTCACTCTATAGACCAAGCTAGACTTGAATTCACTGTGTAGCCAAGGATGGCCTTAAACTCCTTTGCCTTACTCCAACTGTGTGCCAGTGTTCGTAGCTTGTGTGATGTTGGGGCTCAAACCCACACCTTCTTGCATGCCAGGCAAACTCTCTACCAACTGAGCCCACATCCAGTCCACCCAGTATAGTCCTTAAAAGATGCCTTCTTTAGCGGAGCAGCATTTGTTAGGAATTTGCATAGACCGCACTAGCTCTGGTCTCTGTGGCCAGGCAGGTCTTGAACTTGAGATCTCCTGCTGTAACAGGGCCCCAGACCTCAACACAATTGATTCCATGATGGAAGAACCATGCAGGCCATAAAACTCAGCACATAGGGGCTGGAGAGATGGCTCAGAGGTTAAGAGCACTGGCTGCTCTTCCAGAGGTCCTGAGTTCAATTCCCAGCAACCACATGGTGGCTCACAACCATCTGTACTGAGATCTGGCGCCCTCTTCTGGCGTGCGGGCATACATTGAGGCAGAATGTTGTATACATAATAAATAATTAAAAAAAAAAAAATCTCAGCACATAGACAGCACCACCTGCCAAAGCAAAAACAAAGACCTAATCCATCAAAGTCCATACTTAGTTCTAGGAAAGTCTCTAAATGTATAAACCTTGCCTTTTGGCTTCTGTGGTTCTGTTTCTGGCTAACTGTTCTTGCTAAATGAAGTATGTCAACTCAGGACAAGGTTTTTGTGCTCAACTGCTCACCCTGAGAAAGGCTTGGCGCTACACTGGGATCCCAAATATCCAGTATGAGCCGGGTGGTGGTGACGCATGCTTTTAATCCCAGCACTCAGGAGGCAGAGGCCAGCCTGGTCTACAAGAGCTAGTTAGTTCTAGGTCAGGCTCCAAAGCTACAGAGAAACCCTGTCTCGAAAAACAAAAGCAAAAATTCAGTATAGTAGCCAGGTTGCTAATAAAGATTTTCTATTGGCTCAAATCAATGTCTGAGCAGTGTTCTCTGGTGGATACCCTACAACGCTGCCTCAGCCTCCCTAGTAGCTGAGACTAGAAGCCTATCCCACCAGGCTTGGCTTCGCTAGCTCCATTTTGGAAAATAACCAGCCACATAATCACCTTTCATCTCTGAAATCACATGTGATGTCATTTGACTTAGTTCTGATCAGCCCTGTATGTTCCCCAAATTCGATGCGTTTGGATTCAGTCTTCTTCCTCAAACCTGCTACCTTTCCTGGTATCAAGAAGCACTTCTGGGGCCTGGAGAAACAGGTCAGCAGCTAAGAGCACTGGATGCTCTTCCAGAGGACGAGTTCGATTCCCAGCACCCACATGGGGGCTCACAACCATCTGTAACTCCAGTTTTAGAGTGTTCAACAGGTGAATAAATAATAAAATGAAACCTTTAAAGGAAAAAAAGCCATTTCAGATGGAGAGAGGTCAGTGGCGCTTGCTGATCATGTAAGGTCCTAGGTTTGAGCCCCACATCAAAAAGAAACAACAAAATCCCTCTCCTCCCTGTCCCTTTAGGGCACATGGGTAAAAGTGTTGAAGAGAATTAAAAACACCTCAAATTTTCAGTTATCTGCACTATTATTCCAGCAAGTGTACGATACTCTAGAGTCTGGATCCTTCTCTACTTATAGCAATATTTATTTATTCATTTGTTTGTTTTTGTTTTTCGAAACAGGGTTTCTGTGATTAGCCCTGGTTGTCCTGGAATCCACTGTGTAGACCAGGCTAGCCTTGAACTCAGAGATCCACCTGCCTCTGTCTCCTGCATGCTGGAATTAAAGGCGCGTGCCACCACTGCCTGGCTAGCAGTGTCTATTTAATAACTGTATTTATTCCCATACGTGGAAAGAACCCAGGCAGCCCACAGTGGAATGCCCCTGAGGGTTTCTGTTCCTCTGATAGCTTCTTGCCGTCCACAGAAACACCGCTGGTTTTCTGAGGTCTCCGGCTGTCAGGATAATCTTTTCCCCTTTCAGGTTTTCTGGCTGCCTCTCTCTGCTCCATCCTCCCACGGCACAAAATCAGCCACTTTCAAGATCACTGTGCAGTTGCTGTCCTCTATATGATACATAGAATAAAGAATTTATATAAAGTGCATAATTTATATAGTTAGACAAGATATGTGCACATATATGTGAGATATGCATATATGGATATATGTGTATATGTGTGTATAATAATTTGCGAGGCTGAAGCAATAGTGTCCCAAGCCAGAGCTACATAGAAAGACTTTAAAAAACAAATGGGGGGAGGTGTGAGAAGAGGAGGAAGAAGAAACTGCAGCCAGTATGTAAAATAAATGGAAAAAAATGTTATTTAAATTTTAAAAAATCAACAAGGGGCGGAGATATGGCTCAGAGGTTCAAAGCACTGGCTGTTTTTCATCTATAGTGAGATCTGGCGCCCTCACTTGGTGTGCAAGCAGAACACTGTACACACAGTAAATAAATACTATAAAAAATCGACAAAACCATGCTCCATTTTCTGACACAGTCCATCCAGGACTTGCTATAGGGAACTTTCATTTCTTTGTTTCCTTGGTTGCTGTAGTATCTTCTCCAAGCACTCTGGAGACGGCTACCTTTTCTAAAAGTAGGACCAGACAGTCTCTCCCCTGGAGGGCTTAGTTATTGAAGAAATGTAGGAGGCCCTTAGAACACACTGAATATGGAAGTCACCTGACATGGACCCCAAGGATTTTGTAATCAGCCAGGCTCCTGTAGGCTACATGGTTGATCAAGCCATTTCATCTCTTTCAGGAAAAACACTGAAAGCTCATTCCAGATTACAAAAGCTTTTGTTAATAGCAACGTGGGGTCAGAGCTATGTTTTGTTAATGTGTTTCCATTACTAAGGCTTCTGCCGTGGAACCCGCTTTTCCCAGGTGGGTGGGCACGTCTGACCCTGGTCTTCATTCTGCTGTTGGCCAGTTCCCCAAGAGACTTCAGAGTGCCGTGCGGGTTATAGCAGCGTTGTAACACTGCTGGATGGACTGTTTCAATAACCGCTTCAAACAAACAATGTTTCTTTGAAAGCACATATATAAATGTATTTGCAAATGGGGTCAGTCCCTCGTGTGAAAAGGGTCTGCAGCTGCTAAATAGAAAAATCTTCAAGTGAATCAGAAGTGACTCTAGAGGTTGGAAAATGGTGGCAGGGTTTCTCGATCTCGTATCAAACCCCGCCAGGGCTACATCTGAGCACCTTCCAGCCCCCAGATCGATTTTTGTTTCTGCCACCGTTCACCTTTTGAATCATTTCCATTTAGCAAAAGCAGTCCGCTCAGGAGAACAAGGGCAATGTGACTTCTGTCCCCGAAACCCCCTGTGTGCAGCGATGGAAAACAACGTTTTAGTTTTTAGCTAGTGCCCAGCATGGATGAAGAGATTCTGCCTTTCCATAGCAGCCCTGGGCTTTCTCGTGTGGCCATCAATCCCAGTTCGTTCAGATCCAAGTGCTTCTCAACACGGAGACTCCTTTCTAGCAAAGGGTCTGTTTAGTGTTTTTTCGTTTGTTTGTTTGTTTTTGGATGAGCAGACGGAATGTATCCTTGCCTTGGCACTAGTTCCTGGGCAAAAAGCTAGGTCTTCACTGACAACCCCAACCACCTTTGTTCAACCTACGGGTTCCTGCAGTGTCTTCAAACGTCCAGCAGATGGCGGCGCAGCTGAATTTTCTCGAGGTTTTGTGCCTGCCAAGCTGGCAGAAGGCCGGGGAGCTGCAGGAAAAACCAACAAAACAGGAAGGAGACTTTAAAAAAGTAATTCTAATGTTCTACATATATTGCCTTTTGTTGCTGTTGTGTCAGAGTCTCTTTTTATTAGAATTGGTGGAATTAAAGTTGAAGTCTTTTTTTTTTATTTTATTTTATTGAGAATAAGAAAAAAAAAAAGTATCCGCCTCCTCCCAGCCTCCCATTTCCCTCTCCCTCCCCCCTAAAGTTGAAGTCTTTAAAAAAGTTGACTACAACTCAAATATATGTGTAGGACCCAGCCATGATGAGCCCCTCTCGGTATTTTTTGGGGGGTCGAGACAGGGTCTCTCTGTAGCTTTGGTTCCTGTCCTGGAACTAGCTCTTGTAGACCAGGCTGGCCTCGAACTCAGAGAGATGCGCCTGCCTCTGCCTCCCAAGTGCTGAGATTGAAGGCGAGCGCCACCACCAGGCTCCCTCTCAGTAGTTTACCATGAGGCAATACTGGTTCCAAGAAACATCACAAACTGAGACCAGCCAGGCACCACCCAGGAACAGACCACCCAAAGAAATTCCTAACATTTCAACTTTTGTAGATAGGATCACCTGCCAGCACACACCCATGGCTTTCAACAGGACACCCCAAGACAAACGTCAGCCAATCAGGGGTCCTGAACCTTAGAAATCCCTCCCCCCAACCTTTGCTATTATAAAACACCCCCCCTCCCCACTGAGCCCAGGGATCTCAGAGCATCCAATAGGATGGACACTCAGAGTCAGCCTTCGAACTTGAATAAGAGTAAAGCTTCTTTGTTTTCACTTACAGGAATCCCAGTTAGTTTTGAGGGGACACTGATCTCGGCATAACAATATGCAGGCTAGTTTTGGTTTGTTTTTGTTTTTAGAAATATTTGCTCTTTGTTCATTATGTTTTGCACTTTTTAAAAAAGGATCTATTCAAAACAATGCCCAGCAAAATCCCAGAAAAATTCTTCAAAGACCTCCAAAAAACGGTACTCAACTTCATTTGGAAAAGCAAAAAAACCCAGAATAGCCAAAACAATCCTGTGTAATCAAAGAACTTCTGGAGGCATCATAATCACTGACTTCAAACTTTACTACAGAGCTACAGTACAGAAAACAGCCTGGTATTGGCATAAGAACAGACAGGAAGACCAATGGAACTGAATAGAAGACCCGGATATCAATCCACACATCTTCAAACACCTGACCTTTGATAAAGAAGCAAAAAAAAAATCACATGGAAAAAAGAAAGCATATTTAACAAGTGGTGCTGGCATAACTGGATATCAACATGTAGAAAAATGAAAATAGACCCATATCTATCACTATGCACAAAACTCAAATTCAAATGGATCAAAGACCTCAACATAAAGCCAGCCACACCGAACCTTATAGAAGAGAAAGTGGGATGTACACCTCAACGCATTGGCACAGGAGACCACTTCCTAAATAGAAGCACAGACACTAGCCAGGCAGTGGTGGCGCATGCCTTTAATCCCAGCACTTGGGAGGCAGAGGCAGGCGGATCTCTGTGAGTTCGAGACCAGCCTGGTCTACAAGAGCTAGTGTCAGGACAGGCTCCAAAACCACAGAGAAACCCTGTCTCGAAAAAACAACAAACAAACAAAAAGAACCATAGACACTGAGAGAAACAATTAATAAATGGGACCTCCTTAAACTGAAAAAGCTTCTGTAAAGCAAAGGTCACGGTCAACAAGACAAAATGACAGCCTACAGAATGGGAAAAGATCTTCACTAACCCCACATCAGACAGAGGGCTGATCTCCAAAATATACAAAGAACTCAAGAAATTGGACATCAAAAGAACAAATGATCCAATAAAAAAAATGGAGTGCAGACCTAAACGGAGAACTCTCAACAGAGGAATCTAAAATGGCTAAAAGACACTTAAGGAAATGTTCAACATCCTTACTTATCAGAGAAATGAAAATCAAAACAACTCTGAGATTCCATCTTACACCTGTAAGAATGGTCAAGATCAAAAACACTGAAGACAACTTATGCTGGAGAGGTTGTGGGGAAAAGGGAACACTCCTGCATTGCTGGTGGGAATGCAAGCTGGTACAACCCCTTGGGATGTCAGAAAATTAGGAAACAACCTTCCTCAAGACCCAGTAATAGCACTTTTGGGTATATATCCAAAGGATGCTCAACCGTGCCACAAGGACATGTGCTCAACTGTGTTCATAGCAGCATTGTTTGTCATAGCCAGAACCTGGAAACAACCTAAATGCTCCTCAACCAAAGAAGGATAAGAAAAATGTGGTATATTTAGACAATGGAGTACACAGCAAAAAAATAAAAAAAACAACGACAGCTTGAATTTTGCAGGAAAATGGATGGAACTAGAAAACATTCTTTTGAATGAGGTAACCCAGACACAGAAAGACAATTATCACATGTTTTCACTCATAGGTGGTTTTTAAACATAAAGCCAGCCTACAAACCACAATCCCAGAGAAGTTAGACAACAATATGGACACTAAGAGAGACTTACATAGATCTAATCTACATGGAAAGTAGAAAGTAGAAAAAGACAAGATCTCCTGAGTAAACTGGGAGCATGGGGACCTTAGGGGAAGATTGAAGAGGGAAGGAAAGAGTCAAGGAGGGGAGCAGAGAAAAATGTAGAGCTCAATAAATATCAATAAAATAATAATAATAAAAAAGAATCTAGCCAGGAGTGGTGATTCATGCCTTTAATCCCAGCACTCAGGAGGCAGAGGCAGGTGGATCTCTGTGAGTTTGAGGCCAGCCTAGACTACAGAGTGAATTCCAGGGCAGGTTCCAAAGCTACACAAAGAAACCCTGTCTCAAAAAAGCATTTTTAAAAAATTATTTATTTATTATTTTTATTTATGTGTTCGTAACTCTATGAGTTTATGTGTACCACTTGCATACAGTGCTTACAGAGGCCAGAAGGCATCTGAAATCTCAGAACTGGAGTTATAGGCAGTTGTGAACCACGTGAATGTCAGAGCGGGAATCAAACTTGGTCCTCTGCAAGATCAGTAAGGACTCTATTCTGCTGAGTTTTCGTTTCAGTCCTAAGTTTCTCTCTTTTTGAAAAGTACCAACAGGCAAGTTTTAAATCTGTCTGTCTGTCTTATTTGGGTGGGAGTACTGTGGAGGGCAAAGTACCATCGGTACTAGCAATATCAGTAATCTCTTTCCAAGTGTATTCGAGGAATCAGTCTCTATCAGCAGGCTTGAGCTGTTAAGTACTTCTATCCCCTGAACCATTTGGCCTGGCCATGTTTTCTCAAATAGCAACCGTCACGAGAGCACAATGGGGCTGGAGATACAGGTCAGTGGTAGAATCCTGGGCTATGGTGCACAAGGCTCAGGGCTCAGGAGCTGCAAAACCCACAAAGAAGTAAACAAAATGTAAGGGAGATAATGGTGGATAGATACAATGAATACATGTATAAATGTATGAAACGTTAAAAGAATAAAATCTAACATTTTTAAAAGGCAGGATGCTTCGGAACTAAAGAAAACCGGATAGCGACTCCCAAGGCGTGGCGGCGGCGGGCACACCCGCTGCGACGGAAATGGCCTGGTGGACACCGGGCAGTGCCCGCAGCGTCCGGACAGCGCCGCCTGCTGGTCATATCGGTAAAGAGCACCGCGCTGGGCGGTGGCCTGCAGGGCGTAGACCCTGCGCTTTGCAGAGAGCCCATTCTTTGCTAAGCAAGACTGTAAAAAGCTGGGGACATAGCCAGAGAGGTCCTTCTGCCGGGAAGAGAAAACTGATGCCTGCTATAGTTTGGGAAAGCAATGTCCCTGAGGGTTTTAGCGGCTTTAATGCTTCCAACAGTTAAAAAGGATGGGTTTGATTTTTATGATAACATTGCCATTTTAGACAACTCTAGTGGAGAATGGAAAAACGGGACCTGATAGGGGTCTGCTTTAATTTTATTTTACCTTGTACTAATGGGACTTACTAACTATTAAAAGAGGTTATAAGGCATACTTGAAATATGAAGAGGGATGGCATTCTAAACGTGGAAGTGCTAATCACTTCCGCCTGTCATTTTTATTCTAGGGACGGTACGGTGAGATCTCTGGAGTCCCGCCTCCTCTCCCCACTTCCGTTTTCTCCTCACTCATTTGACAGGAGCCTCTGCACGCATCTCCTTAGAACACGTCATCACCATCCACTGGAAGAGTGGATTGTGGTACCACCTTTTCCCCCTATGGCTGAAGCCGGCAGAAAGATGACGGGCTGCTATCTGCTCTTTAGCCGGCCTGGTTGTCGGGAACCCTGCGGGATGAAGCCAAATGAGCGCCTCCTTCTGTTGGCGTCATTGTGCAGGTGCCTTTTCAAGCACAGCTTTCGCCTGGTCCAACGATTAAGTCTTCCTTAGAGCCTTCCCTACGAGTTTTGAGTTTTAAGAATCTTACACAATTTCGTTTTAGTTCCAGTAAGAGAATGCAGACCCACAGATGGACACTTCCATTGGACACTAGAACCTGCAATCGTGCAGTTGGCCAGGGCTGTCAGCAATATACCAGGGATGGGGAGGCCCTTGAGGGCGTACTTCCCAGCTGAACTCTGACCACGAATGCAGCCTGGAGGAGCGGCAGCAGTAGCTGTGTACCCACCCGGTCCACCGTGTTCCAGTGAAAAGTAGCAAACGGTTTAGGTCACAAAGTCACCGCTGGTTAACCCAGTGGACCACAAAACAGAACCAATAGACAAAGGTGTGGGAAAGGGAGGGATTCTAGGGCCCGAGGGAAATCGAGGAGCCGAGGAGAACCTAAACAGGATGCACTGTGTAACATAGAAAACTGCTTTTGTTTGTTTGAGACAGGGTTTCATCGAGTAACTGGCTGGCCTGGAACTTGGTAGTAGAGCAGGCTGGGGTTGAATTCAGAGATTAATCCATCTGCCTCCGCCTCCGGAGTGCTAGGATCAAAGGCAAGCGCCACCACTCCCGCTGTATGAAATAACTAAAGAACAAATTCAGTAAAAGGAA